GGCGGGGAGTTGTTTCGACGCGTCTCGTCGTGGCCTGCTGAGTGCTGCCGTGCCGCGAAGCGCGAACCGGGGATGGATGGATGGAAACCATCGGGGAGAGGAGGGGGAAAAAAGGCGAAAGCGCGCGACAAAAGGCACCGCACGTGTGCACAGCGCGTCTCCCGCGGCTGCCTCTGTCGTGTCCCGGTGTCCGTCGTCCGTGCCGTCCCCTCGTCGGCGCGCGCGCGGTCGGACCGGACGTCCGCCTCGCACGGCCAAAAGCAGGCCAGCAGTAGCTGCTGCTAGGAGTAGCCTGCACGCACACTGCTACTAGGCTTCCACTGCTGGCTGCGTTGCACTGCAATTCGCAAAGCAGATCGGGTGGCCGTGGGGGGAAGGGACGGCTCAGGGCTCCCGCTCGCCGACGGCCGTGCGCGTGCACCGTGCACGCACACGCACGTGTCAGCTGCACACGGTTTGATTGGGAGACCATCAGACCAGACCAGACCAGAACAGCGAGTGAGTGAGTAGTGACAGTGACCTGACCTACAAATCTGGTTTGCATGCAGTGAAAAGAAAGGGAACAGTGGTGGCTGGAGCTGGACTTTGGGCCTCCAACCCCCAGCCGCAATGCTCACGCAAATTGTGAGACCCAGTCCATTGGGCCAAGTTGGGCCGGACCGAATTCAGGTACTGTAACATCGAATACTGTAGCATCGAATTGGGACGGGACAATCCCGAGTTACTGTACCAACGCGAAACGCTGCTCAGCCAGGAGTTTAGTCCCAATAGTGGGATGGTCGGACCAACTTAAATAGCCAGGGATTAAGGATGAGTAATAACTTTTAGTTAACTGTTTTGTGTGAAGCGATGACGAAAACACAAGCGGGTTGCTACGTAGGTGGGGCCTACCCCTTGATTGAGTGGGCATGTGCCAGGCCTGGAGTGTTACACAAATCAAATGCCAGCTGGATGGATGTACCTGTTGGAGTTTGAAACCAACGCTCGCCGGGGTCCCGGGAATTTTACTTTTACGAGTTGCCGTCGAATAAATTCGGAGTAATCCGCTCGAAAGAAGAAGAAGAAGAAAAAGGTTCCGAACGAGTCCGGGACGCCGCGGCGGCCTGCAGCTGCGTCTCCTGCTTGTCTTGTAGATCTGCATACGTACCGTACCGTACCCAAACGCTCTGAAACACGGCACCTCCACGGGCGGTGGTACGGACTACGTATAGTACTCCGTACGACTGTACGTACGAGGAAAGGAAATGTCTCCTTCTCTTTCGGCGGAGTCGAACGTGAGGGACATTCCTGGCGAGGCGCGCCGGCCTCGGCTCGGCCTGCACCCACCCCGCTGCAGCAGCGGCAGGACGGACAGGACTAAGGCCACGGGCAGCACGATCATGGGCCCGTTCGTTTCGCTAAAAAATAAGATAAAATACTGTTTCGACTAATTTGTTGTGAGAGAAAAATACTGTTTCGATTAAAATTTAAATTGAAAAAGACGAATTATAAGATAAGCGAACAGGTGCCGTGAGTACTACTATTGCAAGGCTGCACGCCGACTGACGCTAACACGGGGCCTTCACGCCTTGTGCGTGCCGCAACACCACTGGCACTGCCCAAGCCCAGGGTTTGGGTTTTTGTTGCCCTTATTAAATTTTATAAACTTGTTCATTCGAGTTTCATATCCTTAAATGTCAATACTTTAATCCCTAAACTTACACGGTGATATGTCGGTTCATCTAGATACAAAAACTTATCCAATAATGTAGTATTAGTCTAAACAAGTTCTAACTCGTTCCATACGCTAAATGCGTGGTGTCTAGTTGTGTTGTGTGTTGACGTAGACCATACATTATTGCCCTATCTATCAACTTCTCTCTCCCTCTCGACCATCTCTTCATCCATAGACCGATACCCTCTATCTGTCTTGAACTCTTTCCCTCTCCATGCGAACCTTACAGATGATATAAGGTTATGGTTTGGCGAGTGGCATGTGTGCAAACACCAACATGTGACGAACCCTCTCTCTCTCTCTCTTAAGTGAGAAGAGCGGACATTGACACATGGACCCCACATGTCGTGTCCACATCAGCACACAATCATTATACCATGTCGTGTGCAGGCCAGAGCATGTTTTTTTTTTTGTTTTGAGAATCAGGCCGGAGCATGTTTGATATTAACTTCTCAGAATAAGTTGAGGGATCTAAATAACATCACCGTACAAATTAAAAAAACTTAAATATAAAACTTTTTATAAAAGTTAAGAAGCTTGATAACACCGTCCTGCAATTTTATGAACCCTCTATGACTTTCTCGGCTTCATGGAGATTTACGAACTCACTATTATATATTATATTGTGTCGTGTGATCAGCCAACGTATTCAAGCTTAGGTTGTCTTTAGTTCGTGAATTTTGAAAATTTGGTAACTGTAGCACTTTCGTTTTTATTTGGTAATTAATGTTCAATCATGGACTAATTAGGCTCAAAACATTCGTCTCGCTATTTCAACAAAACTGTGTAATTAATTTTTTTTCGACTACATTTAATGCTCCATGTACGTATCGCAAGATTCGATGTGATGACTACTGTAGCACTTTTTGAAAAACATTTTGGGATCTAAACAAGCACTTAGCATGACTCCGGCCGTTTCCTTTCAATTCCTTCAATATTTGGTCAGACCTAAATCTGAATCACCTAAGAGCAAGACTAATAATATAGCCTGCTTGTTGGTTGTAAGGTTCTTTGTAGTCTTTTCTCAGTCCACTCATATAGTACTTAGCTCTTTATTACTAATACATGACTCACTTATCTCTCTCATATAGTTTCTTGGTTGTGCCCAAGCCGGCTTCTCATCTCTCTCTTCTCATCTCTCTTCTTCGCGTCAGCATTTAACCAGGTTTATGGCCTCTTATTATATCGAACGATGCCCGCTGCTGATCTCTCTTTTGACTTTGCGTGTGTGCGCTTCGCCACAATTCACAAGATATACACAGCATTTTTCAAACTCGAAACCGCCAGAGATTTCGCCCGTCCAAATTAACTCCAAAAGTTCCATGGACCGCCGCCCGCCCTGCCGGCTGGCGACAAGCGGCCTCCTTCCAAACTCCGCGCCCTCGAAACGACGGAGCGTCGGGGAAAGAAAGAAAAGGGAAAAAGGAGGCGGAGGAACGACGGGGATGGGATGGGGGTCCGGATAGCCGGTGGTCCTTCGATCGTTCGGTTCAGTTCGTTCCCTTCCGAGCGGAGGCAAACCCAAAAAAAAAGCGGGAGCGCGTAGAAAAAGCCAGCACGGGCCGGGGCAGGCATCAGGCATGGCGAGCTCGATCGGGCCGAGACCGAGACCACCGGTCTGGTCTCGCGCGCAGACGCACCCTGGGACGGCGAGCTACACAGAGCGAGGCACGGAGGCAGAGAAGACGGCGTCCGGTCCGAGTCGGCCTCGCCGCGCGTGGGTTTGGGGTGGCCGAGGCCGGCACGCACCCATGGCCCCGCCCCACGCACGACGGCACGAGTCTCCGGGCCGGCCGGCCGGGCAAGGCCAGTGGCGACCACACGGACGGAACCATGCTCCGTGCTGGCGAGATGTGGCAACGTGCACATATGCCATCTCCTATCAGCATCGACGCCTTGCTACCCAACTCGGGAGCAGATTTGGTTGTTGAGGAATATTAATTATATATATATATACTCCGTTTGTCTCTAAATAAATCGACTTATAAAATTCTCATAAGTAAAACTTTTTAAACCCTGGTCAAATTTATAATAAGTTTGATTAAAATTTGAAAATTTTAACTCAAAACAAACCTGGAAACTGTTTTATTTGGGTGCAGATGGCGCATTCTAATACTAATATATTATCATGAGCTCCCTCGGTTCCAAGTTGCTTTTGACTTTTTTTTACATAAAATTTGTTATGTGTCTAGACATACGATATATCTTGATGTATAGCTAAATAGATATTTTAAAAATATTAAAATGACTTATAATTTAGAATTGAAGGAGTAGCATTTAACGAGTATTTTACTATTCGTTAATACGGTCCCGAGCATAGAAATGAATGAATTGTGAAAAGAGATTGTACGAGCATGTCCAATCATTCTAAGACGTCCTTACGTGATTGTAATATGTTTCTGGAAAGAAAATTTATGGACATGTTTGTTTACTAGGTGAGCTCGTCTTGCCTCACCTGCGTTAGCAATGATGGGTCTTGCCAGCCTGGGCGAGCCAATTTGACTCGTTTGAGCTAGCAAGTGCAGTGGCGTCTGAAGAAGAACATGTTTTTTTTTTCCAAATCACAATATAAAAACAAATCTTTATATATACACGTATATTCATTTTTATGAACATGTTTGGGATACTAAAGTGGAAGATCTCGAGACCAATGGAGTTATCATGGACATCTAGATGTCAAGGAACACGTCGCTTACCACTTTAACACACAACACTATTAAATCCTAAAATAAATTTAGAAAAACACGAGTGCACATGATACTGTTTAAATTTAGAAAAACACCAAAGGAGTATTGTATTTGTATTGTACACACACCACCAATCATTATTGTTGTCGTGTAATCATCACACGTCGCCAGATTTTAGTTGTGTGAGAAAGAATAAGCTTTATTACATACGCATTCAACAGCAGCACCAATACCCCTAACAGGTTAAAATACTGTACGCACATACGAAACACAAAAAAAGCGCACACACAAGAAAAAAAATCTAGAACAAAATAAAGAGAGAGATAAATGTATTGGACAGAAAAGTCCACGAGAAAAGGCTCCAAAATTGGCCTATATAAACCCTCCTCCACCTCACCCCATCCAAAGAATTTCCAGCAGCAGCAGCAGCTCTCTCACTCCCTCCCCTTCTCCCTGCCACTCTTGCAGCGCAACTCTCTTCAGCTTCCCTTCCAAAACCCAAGCGAAGCCCAGAGCCCCGGAGGCCGGAGCACCACCACGTCATAGCAGCTAGCCCAAGGCACGAGGCTACAGCCACATCACAGTGCCAGACGACAGCCATGGCGGCCGCCGGAGCAGCGCTGCGGCTGCGCCTCCTGTACCGGATGCTGCGCGTGGGGGAGCTCCTCGCGCTGGTGGCGTTCCTCTCCTGGTCGTCGTCCCGCGTGCCGTCCGCCGCCGCCGCCGTGCTGCGGTTCGCGGGGTCGCTCCTCCTCAACGCCCGCTTCGTCTTCGTCCTCGGGAACGCCATCGTGCTCCTCCTCCTCGCGCTGTCGCGGCACGACCTCTCCGCCTCCTCCTCGTCCTCCTCCAGCGGCCAGCAGACGAGCGCGGTGGCGACGACCACGACCGCCGCCGCCCCGCCGCCGCAGGATGCCCCGCCGGCCGCCGCCAGCGCGAGCTTCGCTTCCTCGTTCACCAGTACTCCGATAACTCCACTGCCTCCTGCTGCCTCGCTGGAGGCCTTCAGCCCGCCGCCGGCTCCAGCGATGGAGGTAGCGTCGGCAGCGCCAGCGGAAGCGGGCACGGCGTTCGAAGACAGGCCACCGGCGGCGTCGGCGTCGGCGGTGGCGCGGGTGAGCAAGCTGGCGCGCGCGCCGAGGCGGAGCAGATCGGAGAAGATGAGCTCGCGGGTGCTGCAGCTGCGGCGCGCGGCGTCCCCGCCGGCCCCCGAGATGCGGCGGTCCGAGTCGGAGAACGGGCGGCGGCGGTCGTCCGTGTCGGCGCGCGACGCGCGGGGCTACTGCTGGGGCGCGGACGACGCGGACGAGTTCCGGCGCACGGTGGAGGCGTTCATCGACAAGCACAAGCGGTTCCATCGCCAGGAGTCCATGACGATGGCCGTCGTCGCTGGCTCCGGCTCCGGGGGCGGCGGGCACTGCGAGGCCGCCCCGGCCTTCACCGGCGCCCTCGCCGTCGTCGAATAAGCCGGCGGCCGCCGCCGCGCGGTTGGAAGCGCGCGCGTGCGGCGTGCCCCCACGCCCTGTGCAGCAGAGTACATAGCGGAGGCGGAGAAGCTTCCCTGGCTGAACCTGTCGTCTCGTGTTCATAGTTTGCCATGGCTTCTTGCTCTTCACAAGGGCCACCTTTTTTTTTTTGTGTGTTTTATTTTCTCGGCGCGCGCGTGCGTTTCTTCGTCTCGCCATAGGAAAGGAACCCTGCGACTACGAACGGGGGTTTAGAGAGCCGTTCAGGTCTGCCGTTGGATCGCGGCGTGGATCGGATCCAACAGAGCGATCTTTAACCTGTGCTCTGATCTGGCAACGAAGGAAATGGACGAAATTTGCATGCATGCTGGATGTTTCGTTCGTTCGTCTCTGACTCTGAATGCTGATGCTGCCGAATTTCTTGAGGCTGGCTGGGGCTGGGGCTGGGTGGATGAATGTTGAATGGAGAGCGATCCGTGCGACAAATGACGCGACGCGTCAGACGAATCCAGAATCAGATGCGAGCAGGGGTAACCCAAAGGCATCGCCTATTCGCCTTTACTCCAATTATTATCATCACTTGCACGTGCAGACATATACGAGTACTGTAGTAAATACAGTTGTGCAGAGTTTCATTTCATACAGGGAAAAAACCGTACTACTGGTTTAGAATCCCGATCGACACACTTAAAATCCATGCCGTTATTTATTTATTATTATTACTGCACCATGCAAAGTACTGTACTACTGGTACTAATACGGTACATCATCGACAGTAATAGCAGTGAAGAAGCCTCGCATGCATTGCAGTCGCAGTGCCGTGTGCCTGCTGGCTGCTGGCGTGTGGCGTGGTGACACGCTCGGCCGGGTTGGTAGTGGTGGTACGATACAAACGGCAATCTTTTGGTAGCTCGATATGTCCCGCTCCTCCGTGGCTGGGTGGGGTACTTGGGCTGGCTCCCTTCAGTTCCTTTCCTAGTCCTAGGAGAAGACTCATGGATGCCCCTGCGCCTGCGGACGAGACGAGACGACACGGCCGCCTTGCGTGGAGTGTGGGAGACTGGTTGTTGGCAGCGAGCAGGTGGCGAGGCGAGGCCACTGTTCGTCGACACCCTCCCCGTGGGCCGTGGTGAGTCCGGTCGGCCCCACCTCCACCTCCGAGGAGGGAGATGAACGAACAGAACATGAGGAGGACGGAAAGCGGACGTGCGGAACAAATTCCTTGTTCCCCCGGTGATTTTGATTTTTCTGCGAGAAATTCCATGTCGATTCGCCACTAGCGCCCGCCACCTCCACCTCCACCTCCACCGCTCCACCACTTGGCTGGTTGGCGCTGGCGGCGGCAGGGCAGGGCAGGCTCCGGAATGTCTCGGCGAAACCCCAAATCTTCTGGGTTTCGATTCGATTGGAATTGGATCGATCCGATCGATCTTGTTGTTGGGTTCCGGGAGCGAGGGGCGGCGCGGTGGGCGTGTCCCCGTTCCGTTGGTCCTGCTGGTGTGCTGCGTTGCGTTGCACGTTGGGGTCGTTTTCGCCTCGCCCTGTTTTTGTTCTCGTTTGATGCGCAAGCACAATCCCGTCCCCTGCCTGCCCGCCCCCAAGGAAGCTGCCCCCTGTTGCTGTTGGGATAACCAAATGCAGCGATGCCTTCTTTGCGTTTCACGTATATAGACAGATACCCCGTCCATGCATTCAAAACTCTTCCTCGCTCGCTCTTACCTTCTCTGCATCCATTCAAAAGCAAAATTGAAGTGGAGTCCTGACTCCTGACGCCGAACTGCATCTACACACAAGCGCCATGAACTTTGAGCTCACCGGGTTTGCATTGCATCACATGTGAGCATGCTTCATTCAGCAAGGGGCATACATATAAATATACAACTTGGCTGCCGATGCCGCCCATCTGCATCTCCAATACAGCGATGTGCACCATCCATCCAATCCAAGAAGCAAATTATACTAATTAACTACTACAAAACAATTCATCATGATACCCCTTCGTAATCATGGTACCAAGCAATTTCGGTGACAGCAAGTAACTCACCAGTCACCACCCCACCCAACGAACCAGTACTTGGACGAACTGAAAAAGAAAAACTGCACCTTTCCTTTCCTTTCCTTTCCTTTCCTTCCCATGCCGGCGAAATACTACACTGCTCACTATTGCAGTACGTACTGCGTAAATATTTCTCTGCAAGCTTCTTCTATGTGCTTTTTTGGGCGCTTGCTTTCCGTCGCTTTATTTGCTCCGAATATATAGTTTCCTTCTCCACTACCGAGAGTATACTAATATCAATGTTTTCCACTGCTACTAGTATATTATATTAGTTTGTTGATTTGCTCCGAATATAGTTTCCTTCTCCACTACCGAGAGTATACTAATATCAATGTTATCCAAATCCATTATCCACGAAATGAATGATTCCTCCTGGCGTGGCAGCGGAGACAAAAGGCAGGGTCAACATCCCCCAAGGCAAAAGCCCATATTCCCACGCATAATTTTACAACTTTATTTGCCGCCGCATCGTTTTTATCTTATACTACTATATATACTGGTCCCTCCCTTCCTGAAAAAATATAGTTCTTGATTTGGACTGAATCAAACTTCCATAAATTTATCCAATTTCTATAATATTATTAACATCTATAACTTAAATACATATATACGATGAAATTATATTCGATGATCAATCTAACAATATACTTATTGAGTAACCACTTGTTTCAGTAGATTTGGTCAAACTTGAAAACCCTTTGGAAAGTGCAGAGTTTACGCAGCCTGTGCCATTGGTTTTCAGTGGGCAGTGGATGCTGCTACCAACAGAAAATGGCTTTTGGGAATCTGTGGCTTTGTGTGGCATGGCATAGTGCTGCTTCTGCTTGGCTGTTAAGTATGTCTAATGTCTCCACCAACCTGACCCTACCTGTCCCTATCCATTGTTCATTCAGAATTCATTCATTCATTCATATATGAATGCTGGGAATTTTGGAATGCAAGCAGTTGACGTGCGATGTGTTGGTTCTGGTTCGCGCCGGACGAGGCAGCAGGTCGGCTGTTGTTTGTACTACGAAAGATGGTTGGTGTTTGTTTTGTTGGATCAGGGCACCAGGCCATGGAATGATTGAACCAAAAGCCATTTCGGGTACAGGTCAGGTCAGGTTTGCCGTCCATGACAACCGAAACAAGGTCCTGAAGCCCTGCAACCTCTTGTTTCGATCCATTACATTCTTTGTTCACTTGTGGCTTCGTACAAACAAATGCAGACATTTCAGACACTGTACGCTTCGTACGAACACATTTAGAGATTTTAGACTGTATTTTTTTATGAGAGACTGAGAGAGGATATTCAACATCATAATTTTTTTTTGTTTGTTCAAGAGGACGGCCTTCCTGAATGAAGACCTGGACTCCATAAAATGCAATCGTCGTCGTTAAAATTAGAGGAAAATATACCGAAAGGAGAACATTTTGGGCCAGGTCTAGCACACTGGCCCATAAGGCCCATTTTCTTTACCATTGCCCATTTTCTTTACCTCAAAGCAATGGTAAAGAAAATGGAGTGGTGCAGGGGCTCAGCGGCCTCTTCCTCTTTCGAAAAGCAGTGGTGCGGGGCTCAGCGGCCGATCACGGCTAGCCGGGCGGGGCTCCATGTGGTTGTGCCCTTGAGCACCACCGCCAACCAGACTTGTTGTCGCCGCCACCTGTGGTGCCACCGCCAAGGTCGCCGAAAGCGGTGGGCGGGGCTCCATCGCGGTTTTGTTGCCGCGAGCACCGCCGCCGCCTGTGGTGTGTGTGCGTGCGAGAGAGCAGGGTTGTTGGAGCTGATGGCCTAGGGGCTGGGAATCCTGGGCGTCGGGACAGGGACGGGGACGCGCTGGCGCGGCTGGTTAATTTGCTGATAAGATCATCCACGTCTTGTGACTGATGGTTAAACAAACCTTCAGTCACCTGTCACAAAGACAGACTCATAAAATATAGTTTTGGATGGTTGCAAAACTGTATTGGGAGGGAAAAAATAGATCCTCCAAAAACACTCTATTTTTAGTGTCGAAAATCCATCGTATCATCTTCGGCTAAAATAGAGCGGTGATTAGACTCCTATTAAAAGAGTGTTTTTCACTTTTTCTCCTATGTCCAACGTCTGTAAATAGAATTAGCTCTTGATGAAGAGTAATTTTATCAATTTTTATTAAAGTATATAAATTAACATGCTGAGCTACGGGGTATCTTATAAATTATTGTTGGACATGATTTGATATCGGAGATTTTATGTTCGGTGAGGAGGTGACTTCTTCCACATGGCCTCACGGGATGACGGTTGGGTTGGTTAGTGGACGGGAAATTGGGTTGGACACTGGAGCGTGTGGGTTACTCTGGAAAAGCTTTGGATCGGCAATGTCAAACTCGGCAGATCATGGACCGCGACATTGGTGTCTGCTCGTCGTCAACGGCACTGTACTGCACTGCAGGACGCAGGACCGGGACACATGCACGCACACCGCTTGAAACGCCGGGAAGTCGTTGTTTCAGTTTGTCCGCGGAGCGGACGCAAGATCATATCCGACTCAGAGAGACTGTGCATGACCGCCAGGCGGCAGCCACGACGACTTTAGGGACTGCTTGAATCTTTTACCTATCGTTATTTTGTCTTGTCAAGCTAGAAACTAAAGAAAGACATCTGTTTGATTAGTGGACAAGATCACCTCATAGTCTGTACTGACATTTTTTTTCTTACTTCTATAATTAGCCTTGTCCGGCCAAGCTAGACGAGGCAAGCCATTAAAGAACCAAGCAATGCCCTTAATTTCCAAAAAGTTGCACGACAAGCAACCGTCCACGCACGTAAGTAAGAAAGATTAAGCAGCCAGACGAATCCATTTTTTACCACTATCATAAAAGTCAGCTTTTCCTTACTTAACTATAAAATCAGACACAACTCCTCCCTTTTCTCTCCAATACATACACGTGAACCCATGGCTGTTTCCTCAGTGGGTTTTCT